TCATGCGCTCCGTGATGTACATGCTGCGTCCGATCGTTCCTGAACTCTTGTCGGGCGTCTGCTTCCAGGGCGTCACCCTGATGTGCTGGATGAGCTCGGGCTGCCATCTGAACTCCTCAGGCATCCTTCGCACCGTTCTGACCTTCTGCACTCCACGTTCAGGATCGATCACGAGATGTGTATCGTCCAGCTCACTCTTACCAACCCAGATTCCTTTTGCGAAGCGGGCTTCCCATTTGCCACGTCCCGCGGCAACTCTGGCTGAGATCCGATACCAGACCTGCTCACCCATCTCCGCAATCTCGCCGTTGTACTCCTTGCCGTAGAGCATCTTGTAGGAGGAACCTCCGTGACTGCGAGGCTGGAATCTGGTAATCATCCACCCCACTGAGTTCACAAGCCATGGCACGATCGGATCCGTCATCTTGATCTCACAGCCCAGCTTGTGCTCCAGCTTCAGCTTGTAGGCTCGAAGTTGACCAGCTGCTAGCTTGTTACCTCCTTCAGCGTAGCCTGCACTCTGCTTGGAAAAGGGCGGTGATCCCCGCACCAAGGTTGAGTGTGATCTGCGATCTCGAACTGCCTGCGCCAGAGCCATGGTGGCAGGCTCCTGGTCTGTCTGAAGTATGACTGTTGTGTGGCCCCAAGCTTCCAGCACGCCTAGCAGGAAGGACACCTTGTAGTCATCCGTCTCCTTGTTCGCGTACAACGTCGCCTGAGCCAAGATCTTACAGTCGATAACATTCAAGACAGAGACCGCTTGGTCTAGCTCGGCCTTCGTGACCGACATCTTCTCCCTGATGCTGAAGTAACCTCCTTTAAAAAAAAAAAAAAAAAAAAAAAAAAAAAAAAAAAAAAAATAAAAAAAAAAAAAAAAAAAAAAACAAAAAAAAACAAAAAAAAAAAAAAAAAAAAAAAACAAAAAAAAAAAAAAAAAAAAAAAAAAGAAAAAAAAAAAAGAAACAAAAAAAATAAAAAAACAAAACAAAAAGAAAAAAAAAAAAAAAAAGAAAAAAAAAAAACAAAAAAAAAAAAAAAAAAAAAAAGAAAAAAAAAAAACAAAAAAAAAAAAAAAAAAAAAAAAAAACAAAAAAAAAAAAAATAAAAAAAAAAACAAAATAAAAAAAAAAAAAAAAAAAAAAAAAACAAAAAAAAAAAAAAAAAAAAACAAAAAAAGCTTTGTACTTCGCAGCCAGCTGGTCCGTCCCTACGTAAAAGATGTCGAACATGACCTTCGGGATCTTGTTCTCATCAGCTGGTTCCTGAGCGTGGTGTGGGTCATCGTCTGCTCGAGCCTGCACGCAGATGGGACACCAAGGCCGAACAGGTAGATGATGCCCTTCGTGCGCGGCTCTCTCCGCAGCACTAGGTTGGTGAGGAGTCTTCAACACTCTCGTTGGCACAGTTGTGGTCTCATCAGCTTCAGGACCTAGAACCTTCGGCAAAGATCCAGCTTCCTGTTCAGCTGGTACCGTCCTCGGTAGCGTCTTTCGGACCGCAGCTACCTTTGAAGCTTCTGGTTGAGTCTGGCCGTCGATGATGTGATCGTACTCTAAGTAGTAGTTGCCTTGGTGACGACGTAGAGGTACGAACTCAGCTCCATCAGGTGGCTCGATGGTACCGTTGATGATCCAGTGACCTGCAGGGCTATGAAGAACACTCTGACCACGTTGTACTACAGCATCTGTAGCCACAACTGGGTACTCCACATCGGCAACCTCAGCACCGACTTGAATAACCTCTCCTCCTCGGGATAGGTTCAGTTCCACGTGGCCGTACCTCTCGATCTCCTCGCCTCCTATGCCCTTCAAGCCGACAACGTTGCTTTCCGTCGGCGTGTAGTTATGCTTGGTCACCTGTGATCTCGGTATCGCACTGATCTGCGCACCTGAGTCGAGCATGATCGCATTCCGAAGCGGGGCTAACCGCAATCGGTCATCTGCAGGACTCTGATCTTCATCCACGGGCCGAAGACCAGCGACGGTAACATGCCTGGGGCCGGCCAGCGCGGGGCTCACCGCAGCTGGCACATCGCAGCACTTACTGATAGTCTTTCTTGTGCTTCTTTGGTCTTGGCTTCTCGTTGTCGTCTGGCTCTTCCTCGTCCTTGAACCAGTTGTCCAGGCAGTACTCGGCACACGCGGCACAGTAGTCCAGCTTCCACTGATCGAAGTGCCATCGCCATCCTTCAAAGGTCTTCTTGCAAGAGCAGCAGACATATTGGTGGTAGCTAGGCAAGCAGTACTTCCAGTCGATCGTGTGGCTGCGCTTCTTGAGACCTCTGCCCTCAGGGCCAGAATCATCTTCGCTTGCAGCGCACAGTTGACTGGGCGCAGCACCTGCTGAGTCATCGCGCTGTCGGCGCTTCCTTGACTTCCCAGCATCTGTTGTGTAGGTACTGCCGAGCTTGTTCCTGTGCCCACTCCTGTCTGTCGTAACCTTTCGAGCTCCCTGACTGCCGCTGCCCCGATCTTCTTCTTTTCTTTTACCTTCTCTTTTCGGAGCTGCTTCTTGTCCTTCTTGTCCTTCTCGGATGTCTTCTTCTCGTCGGCGATCCGCTTTCGGCAGTTTGCGCTGCGGTGGCCCTTCTTGTGACAGTAGTTGCACTCGATCTCGGCGTCGGGATTCGGTGGCCTCTCCTTGCCTTTGCCGTCTTTCCCTTTGCCGCGGCCTTTCCACGGTCTCTTTCCGCCCTTCAGCGCTCCTATCTCCATCGGGTCGTCCTGAACCGCTCGCTCTGCCATCAACGCCGACACCACCTCGGCTCTCAGGAGCTCGTACGTACTTAACCGACTGCTGTTCCGAAACACGTGCTTCTGCAGCTCGTCGTAATCCTTCAGCGCCTTTGTAAGGATGCCTCGCTTGATCAGGTCCGAGACTGGTTCTCCTGCCATCTTCTGGTACCTCGTCATGTCCTCGTCCAGCTTGCTGATGCTCACCATCACGTCTTCTTTGGTGTCGAACTTCGTGTCCGTGAGCTTGGTCCACATCGCCAGCACGTTTCCTGCCTCGCTCGGGTTGTACTCCTTCTGAAGTTTCCTCCAACACTCGGCTCCTTCTCCTACTGGGCTGTTCCTCACGATCAGCTCGCCTACCGAGTCCTCGGGCATCGCCAGGACCAGGCCGTAGTACAACTGCGTGCTTAGCTCTTCCTCCTGCGCGTCCAGGTTGACGTTGTCCACCTCCTGGGCTCCGTCCTCGCACCTTTCCAGAAGATCTCGGTACCTTCGATCCTGGGCGATCAGGTACGCTCTGTACTGGAAACTGAACGTCTTCCAGCTCGCCCTGTGGCCGTCGAACGGCTTCACCTTGTGAAGAATCTTCGGATCCATCATCTCGCCGCGCGGGGCTACCCGCTGCTGCTGAGCCTGTTGCTGAGCTTGAAGCTGACCTCGCATCTCTGCGATCGTCACGTCTCTGTTCTGAAGTTCCTGTCTCATGTTCTGACTCTCCGTCGTCAGCCTCTGAACTTGATCGACCAGTTGCTGCAGCTGCTGCTCCATCTTGATAGTCGAGCACGTCGATGACACGCTTCCCAATCCTCTCGATGTCGCTCGCCAGCTGCCTCTTCACCGCTGCTCGCTCCTCCTGCGTGAGCTGCGCTCTGCTGCCGCACGCCTTGAGCTTCCTAAAGGCGGTCCCTCGAAGCTCGCGGTGCTGACGCGTGTCCGCCGACCTGCCTCCTCGCTTGTTCGGCTTCTTGGCCTTCTCCGTGGCTGCTTGGCCTCCACTGTCAGAGCGCGGGTCTGACCGCAGCTCTGACTAGCAAGGGGTCCTCTCGGCGCTCGCGTGGATCGTCCCGCCAGCTGCTGAGGGGCTCCTTGAGCTCGCCTGGGTGCGGAGCGGCCCGCGATCCTCAAGCGAGCTCCGCTACCATGCACGCGCACCCACCCCCCTTGCGGAGAAAGGGGGGAGGTGAGGGTCGCTCTTTTCCTCGAGCAACAAAGGGCTGCAGGATTTCCTGGATCCTCCAGGACAGTCTGATTATATTTTATATAATCACATATCTATGTAAAACTACAAACTTCCTAGCAATATATATATATATATATACTGCACAACAGACATGGCGCACCAGTACACAAGAGAAAAACACCCAGCAGCGGATGGCTTGAAAATTCGTGATTCGGACATTGAGATCGATTGTGATATCAATAATGAGATCGATAGTGGGATCGATAGTGAGGACGATAGTACGGTCGATCATGAGACCCATAGTGAAATCGATTCAGTGAGATCGATAGTGAGATCGCTCGCGCGATCTACAGTGAGATTGATTGTGAGATGGATAATGCGATCGATTGTGAGATCGATACAGAAATTAATAATGACATCGATGGTGAGACCGATCGATAAAGAGATCGACCCAAAAACCAGGGAACCTCGCCGCCCACCGAAATCGGCTCGGAACCAGCAACCGAGAACCCGGAAACCCGCAACCGGGAACCTGGGAACCCGGCCGCCAACCGAAATCGGCCAGCAACTTCCGCCAAATCCTTCAATCTCCTCTGGGACTCCTTCAGTGCAAGCACTGATTGGGGAATGAATGGCACCACGTAGATTGCACCACATATATTGCACAACATAGATGGCTAGAAACACACACTGTTTGGGGTCCACGCTGGCTAACATTGCCATGCCTCTATTATGATATGGTTCTAAATGTTAAATGTGTTTCACATGTTGTTTATTGTTATTTGTTGTTTGTAGACATCGTCGCCAAATCCTGGAGACCCATGCGCAGAGCATCGACCCCAGGCACCGCAGGAAAACGGGCTCCTCGTCGGACTGGTACGGCAGCTTGACGTCCAAGGCCTTCAGCAGGTACGAGTCGTAGACATCAGAGGAACAAACGACAGCACACATGTAAACTTTCGGAGGTCCGCTCGGATTTCTCAGATCGGCGCTGGAGGCGCCTCCAGGGGGGCTCAGCGCAGATCCAAGAAGTCCGGGCGGAACTTCGAAAATTGATGTTTGTGCATTTGTTTCTTCTTCGGGATGTGCATCGTCACGGTCCGAACGTCCCCAGGGTAGTGCGTGAAGAAGGCGAAGCTCGGAGGAAGGCCAGTTGAGACAACAGCAACCCTTCCGCCCGGGCTAACTTAAATCCGCCGACCCTGTCGGCGTGTGTGAGGGGCTTGTCCGTTCAAGTTAACATCTCCGTCATTCGTTGGTCGTCTCTGTCGTCCCCTTTCCCTGCCTCCCCCCTTTCCCTGGGCTCGTCGAAGCTCCCCCTTTCCCAGGGACCTCCTCAGCGCGCCAGCCAAAGCAAAGTTGAGCAACGTCGTAATTGAGTCGAAGGGAAGCCTCTTCCCTTCGATCCCTCCCCCGCAAAGGGGGGGAGGGTGGGTCCCGGGGGGGGGAGGTCAGATACCACGCCCCCCCTGGGAGTCCCGGAGCTTAAAAAAGCCCCAAGACGGACCAAGAGTGCCCCAAGAGGCCCCAAAGACAGTCCAAGAGAACCCCGAATCGCCGAACGATATGTCCAAGACACCTTGACGGCCTCCAGACGGCCCAAGAGGCCTGCAAAGCGCCCCAAGAGGCCTCCAGGAGCTTTCCCACAAGAGCTCCAAGAGGCAACAATGATGGATTTCCCCCCGTTTTTGACAGATTTTGGCGTTCTTGCCTCGTCCGCTTCCCGACGCGCCAAGACGGCCCAAGAGGACCCCAAGATCGCCCCGAGACGGCCCAAGAGGCCCCCAAGAGGGTCCCCTAACTTAACGGCCGAAGAGGGCCCCACGACGGCCCAAGACGCCTCCAAGACGGCCCAAGAGGCCCCCAAGACGGCTCCAGGAGAGTGCCCAGACGGGGGACCCGAACGGACATTTCGAGCTCTCAGCCCCACGAGGCCCCCAAGAGGCTCCCAAGGGGCCCAGAAACTGCCCCAAGACAGCCCACGAGAGCCCCCAATTGGCCAGGAGGCCTCCAAGAGTGCGTCGATACGGCACAAGAGGAGCACTGGACGGCACAAGACGGCCTCAAGAGAGGCCCAGGCTGTCCAAAGAAAGCCTCTGGCCTCCTCCTCTTCCTCCTCTTCCTCCTCCTCCTCCTCCTCCTCCTCCTCCTCCTCCTCCTCCTCCCCCCCCTCTGCTCCCCCTCCTCCTGCTCTCCTCTGCCTCCTTCTCCTCCTCTTGCTTCTCCTCCACATCCTTCTCCCCCCTCCTCCTCCCTCATCCACCTCCTCCACCCTTCCTCCACCTCCCACTCCTCCTCCTCCCCCTGACCCCCCCCCCGTTTTCATCTTCGTCGTTCTCAGGGTCGGCAGCCACAGGCAAACAGACAAAAAAAAATAAGCAGATCAAGAAGAAAACCAAAACCAACAAACACCAGCCAGTACAAAAACCAAAACCAACCACGACAAAAATAACCCACAAACCATACAAGCACAAGACACAAAACCAACAACAGACCAAAACCAACAAGCCAACAACACACAGGATAACAAAACAGCCATACACACATACCAGCCACAAATAATACCAAAAAAAACATATCCCCACCACAATACCACATCACACACACAACAAGGCCGTGAGGCCTTCGCAACCCGCTCAAAATCGGTCCCTATAGACCGAAGGATTGCACAAAAAATCAAGGATTGCAAAAAAACCAAGGGTTTTTTGCAATCCTTCGGTTTTTTTGCAATCCTTCGTTTTGTTTGCAATCCTTCGCCCAAGATCCATCCCGACCCGTGTTTCGACGCGGAGCGACGAGGAGCCCCCGTGAAGCCCCCGCAGAACGACGATATCGCCTGGAAGGGCTGCCGGGGTCTCCGCCGGCCCTCCTCCGAGAAGCGGGGCAGCCCTCCCACGCCGAGGGGCGAACCTTGGTGAGCCTGTTTTCCGCCACCACTACCATAAGTTGGAGGGGGGAGGGGAGGAGGAGGAGAGGGAGGAGGAGGAGGAGGAGGAGGAGGAGGAGGAGGAGGAGGAGGAGGAGGAGGAGGAGGACCCCCTCCCCTCAAACTTATGGTGGTGGTGGTGGAAAACACGCCCATCAAACCTGGCGGGCCGCTGGCGGCCTCCGGAGGCGGCGCCCGGTGCAGCAGGTGGATGGCCTGGGTGTGCTTCTGCAGCTCCCGGGCCGTCTCGTGGGCGGCGTTGCCGAACCCCCACACCAGCACGGATCGATTCTCGTAGGCCCGCCCGCTGGGCTCGAGCTCCTCCACGAGAGCGCTCGCTGGAAACATAGGCTCTCGGAGGCCCGCGCGGATGCCTTGGCTTGGCGCTGGACCCCTTCCCCGGCGCGCGGAGCGCGCCGCCAGGGGGGCCCAACGCCGATCCAAGCAATCTGTGCGGACCTCTGGCAGATTTCTTCTTGTGTTCGCAGATTCCCCAAACTGCCGATGTCTTGACTTTTTCCAGGTCCCCGGAGCTCTGGACACCTTCCCTGGGACCAGCTCCTCGTCCCAGATCGTTCTTGACGCTCCCAGGGGTCCTGCGAGGGCCCCCCCGACGCCGGAGACGACGAACAACCACCGCCCTGACTTTTTCATTTCGCTGGAGATCTGTGTCTCCTTCGGTCCTCGTAGCCCCTCAGGAGTCCCTCGCCGACGACGTCCGCGGGCCTGTGCGGAGCCTGCAGCCCCGCGGCCACCACCACGCGGCGGCAGCCCTGGGGCTCCTCGGCCCCGCCGCGGCGCTCCACGCTGAGCTCGAAGCCCCCCTCGCCGGCCAGCGGCCGTATCCGCCGAACCTCCACGCCGTACTCGATGCCCCACGCCAAGGACGCTTCCCCACAGACATGCTCGCGTCGTGAAAAACATGACGGATAGTTCTTGGTCGCTGGCGGAGGCCCTCGCCGCCCTCGCCGGGCTGCGGGGCCGTCGAAAAACGGCTCGGGATGAGAAAACGGCCCTGGGGAAAGGGTCGGGACTTTCGGGGACCCCACCCCGTGCTGAGAGATCAAGCATCGCAGGACTGGGTCCGCGTCTGCCGATGTGGCGGGCTCCGAGGCTCGGGCGATGCAATTTGTTATCACCGGGCGATTTCGCCTGGCTCCGGGCCCCAGGGCCATCACAGGTCGATCACGCTCAAAAAATGCAGCAGAGAGACGGGTCTGGGGCTCCGGCTGTTTGTTCGCGGTGCTGAATTTGTTTCGCCATGTCGGATCTCAGTCTGGCAGGGCGTGCCCCCGAGGACCGCTGGGTGTGGATACCTCCCGCGCCCTCAGATGGCGGGTGTGGGTATTCACATCCGGCGGTCTGCGAGATCATCGGGGGGGCACGCCACCAGACCCGTGGGTATGGGCATGCTCTGGGCGTGGAGATGTGCTCCGACTGCTCGGCCGCGTACTCCCTGAGGTACTCCACGAGCACGTTAGCGTGCGGGTAGAGCTCGTCCGACCTCTCGGTCACAGGCCTCACGCCCGCTGCATCCGAGCCCAACAGCGAGTTCCAGTCGTGGCGCATGCGGAACTCCTCGCTGCGCGAGCGCGCATGCCGCTTGTTCAGGCTGATGAGCGAGCGGTGCACGGGGAACCTCTCGAAGAAGCTCCCCGCCGAACCACTGCGCTCGAAGATCACGTAGTCGGCCAAGGCGGACCCGTCGCGCAGCAGCAGATGTCCCAACTGCAGGCCGGCCGGCCCCGCGCCCACGATGCAGACGGCGCGCGGCGTCCGCATCACCCCTGTCGCTTTCTTCTTGGGCGACCTCAACGGGCCGCCTCACCGATCCTGGCCGGCCCATCCTGGGCCCAAGATGGGCAAATCGATCTCGCCGAACCAAGCGGCAGCGGCGCCCTCGTATGCCATGCAGCACTTTCGAGCCTCTTGGCACAAGCCGAGACCATGGCTCGGACCTGAACGGTTGAGGACGGGCGCGGTGAAGTTGACTGCAGTGGTGGAATTCAGAATGGCGGGAAGGATGAAGAGAAGTAGCGCGCCGAGGAAAACAAACGAAGGGGCCACGGTCATGCCATCGACTGAGCAGTAGCGTTTCGTTGCCGAGTATGGCCTGCCAGCCCACTCAAAAATCTGCAAACAACCACATATTTGCAACGCACGCTCGATGCGTAAGCGGGGTGCTTTTTAGGTGCCTGAAGCCGCATATTTGCAGGCTCGCCTTTTCAAACCCCTCCCCATCGTCCGCCTCCTCCTTCCCCCCACAAAGCTTTTGATGCCCCCCTCGTCCTTATGTAGTGAGCCCAAATATGTGCTCTGCTGGTGTGGCGTATACAAATATGAAAACGATCATTTATTTCACACAATCGCCTTGTTTCATCAAACGTTCTCTCACCCTCTATATCTATTAGATTGAACGTTGTATCACCGATCCGCACGTGGCCCTGGCCTCACTGAAAAACTTGATAATATGTGTGTACATATATACACACACCTTCCAATTTCGCGGGACCTATCCCCGCCTGGGGCGGTGGGCTTTGGAAGCAACTGGTGGGTCTGCGATGGATGGGCCCCGAGAAAGCTTGTCAGGAACGAGTGGGCAAAAGCAGACAGACAAAAACCGCGCACAACAAAGGTGCGTTGGCAGAAATGGTGAAACGGAAACTATCGGGTGAAACGGCGAGCGTGCGAAGCATGAGAAGTAGGGGGAGGAGGAGGGGAGGAGGAGGAGGAGGAGGAGGAGGAGGAGGAAGAGGAGGGGAAACAAAGGCGTCATATAGGAAGCATGTTGCTTTGCGACGCGTGGCCACGCATCACCTTCCTGACGCCAAAGCCTGTGCAAAGCCTCCTGGCTACCAGCTGCCATCCGGGCCAGGTCATAAACATTACGTTTCCAACAGTTCCTCGGTCGGCCCCGTTTGCGGCGACCACTCCGCCAGCGCGGATCGAAGCACGCCAGCGCGAACACACACCGTCTCACAACGCTGCCCTCTGGGGAGCTGGGCGAATTTCGCCCATGAGCACTACTTGGCGGTTAGCCAATTGGGTATTAAGCTTTCGGTGATTGCGAGTCTGAAGCACAATAGCGTTGGTAAAATGACCATAGCGTGAGTGTGGGATGCCGACAGTTTGCGCAGGCATCGCGCTTGAAAATGATCTAGCTTTTTACGTTCTGACTTGTTCAACCAGAGCGCGCGCGCATGCAATGCATTAATTTGGACACTACGCATTCGTCCAAGAATGCAACCTCTTTTTGTTCAGAGGAACTTCGCTGTGCTTCCACACCTTGCACAATGATTCAAAGTCCTCATACGCCGCGCCTAATCTCCTGCTCAACTCAGGCCCACGTCCTCCGCCAGAGCAGAGTAAGCCTTCAAGGTGTGTCATGCATTCTTTTTGAAGTATTGCCTGACCATCCAGCCGTTGGACGTGGGGATGGCAGCGTAGCGGAATAACTTCAAGTTTGCTCCAGTTTAAGGATAAACCGTAGTGCTCCCCCGCGTCCCTCACGCACATCGTCAACTGCGAGACATACGCTTCCTCGGCGCCAGTGCGAAGTGCGTCGCCCGCGTGGATGAGCTAGCTCGTTGAAGGGCATGTCGTCATGTTGATAGAAGCCAAACGTCTGGAAATGCCGCGTCGCGTCGTGCGCCAGCGCGCTCATCGCGATCAAAAACAAGAGCGGGGGCAACGGGCAACCCTGAGAGACGCCGAAGGCCTGGGGCCAGAAGTCCCAACAGAATCACGGGCGCAGAAAGTCATGCTCTCGTAGATCCCTTTCATGGCAGAGGCGATGCGTCCCGGGGCCCCGAAACGCTGTAACTCTCAATGCCTGAAGAAGTCCCTCGGGCAACACGCTGCCGAAGGCCTTGGCCCAACCGAGGGCGAGCAGGGGCAAGCGTCCGCAGGCCGCGCCCATGGCGTCCTCGATCAGCCGCCTGGCGACGAATAGCGCTTCCGTTGTTCGTCGCCCTTTTGAAAATGGCCGCCGCCGCTGCTTCGCGCCGCGCCTCAGGAACAGACGCCTCCGCCCAGCATTTGTCGCATCGCAGAACAACCCATTCACATGCCGATGTGCCTGCGTGGCAAATTGCCTTCCAAAATTCGGCGGGCGCGCCGTCCTTCCCCGGCGGCGCGCCCCCCCCTCA